AAAAGTTACCGGTTCGCTTTGCAATGGATCGAGCTGGTTTGGTTGGTGCCGATGGACCCACACACTGTGGAGCATTTGATGTCGTGTACATGTCTTGTTTGCCCAATATGGTGGTCATGGCTCCATCTGATGAAGCTGAACTTATGCACATGGTTGCCACAGCAGCAGCCATAGACGACAGGCCCAGTTGCTTCAGATTCCCAAGGGGCAATGGAATTGGAGCTGTTCTCCCACCTAATAACAAAGGAACCCCACTGGAGGTTAGCATAAGTTGCCGACATTTTAATATGCAAAGAGAAAAATACAGAACAAACTAACCATTACTTCCTTTTGATAATTCAACAGATTGGTAAGGGAAGAATACTAATGGAAGGAGATAGAGTTGCTATTCTAGGTTATGGTTCTATAGTTCAACAATGTGTGGAAGCTGCAAGCTTGCTCAGGAACAGAGACATATCTGTCACAGTTGCTGATGCAAGATTTTGCAAACCTTTGGATACAGATCTCATCAGGCAACTGGCCAAAGATCATGAAATCCTAATTACTGTGGAAGAGGGTGCTATTGGAGGTTTTAGCTCTCATGTAGCGCACTTCCTAAGCTTAAGTGGTATTCTGGATGGACCTCTCAAGGTATTTCCTCTTTGAAATGAAAGTTTCAAGCAAATTTTTAATCTTATTTCTTCTTTTCCTTTTTATTTATTGAGGTCCTAATTCTTGAGCATTCCTTCTGCAGTTGAGAGCAATGGTACTTCCTGATAGATATATAGACCATGGATCACCCCAGGACCAAATTGAAGCAGCAGGGCTCTCCTCAAGACATATATCTGCAACAGTTTTATCCCTCTTGGGAAGGCAAAAAGAAGCACTTCTGCTTAAGTAAGCACACAAAATAGATCAGCATCTTGCCTTCTGTGTCCATCTCAGAAATTCATACCGGGGTATATATACACCAAGTTCAAGACCGCAATTTTTAGACTGATATCCCCATACCTACAAAGCTTTGCCAGTGTATCGGATTACTAATGTAATTGTCAAGGCCTCAATTGTGTGTGTACATTAAGTAGTTATATTGTAGCCAAGGCATAAAACGCCAATTTCAAGAGAAAATAAAATATAGCAAAATTTGCAAGCATTTTCAGGATAACACTTTCTCTCTCTCCCACTTTTATCTGTTTATTTCAAGAAAAAGAATTGTGAAACAAGTGATCATGCACTGAGTGCAAAATTGTCAGGATATGCTTCAATTATTCCAGCCATAATTTTAAGAAACCCACCAAGTAAATAACTGTTATATCATGATCTAGATAAGTAATTAACAAGACATTTTGATCAGCCAACCATATTGGGCATCAGTAGAGACTGAATAATGAAATTGCCTACAAGTAGATCTTTTCCAGGTTACCGGAAGATCCCTCACCAAGTAACTAACGACTGAATCATGATCCAGGCAAGTCATTCAGTTGGTATTTTGGTCAGCCAACTATATTAATGGGCATCAATGCAGACAGAACAAGGAAATTGCCTACAAGTAAATCTTTTCCATGATACTGAAAGATTCAATGGTTGAAAATTCTGATTACTTTAGCTTTTTGGTTTTAGGTTAGAGGTAACTCTCCCACCAATTAAATCTCCAATCCACAGTAAAGATTGGAGTCAACGAGTACAGCAATAAGAGACTTCACAGACTATTATATTTGGACAAGGAAGAGAACAAAAGAAAAATTAAAGCAATTTATTTCTTTAGAATGAGGAGACATCCCTCATAAATTAACAAACATAGAAATTCAAATACCAAAAATAGCATCATCATACATCTTGACCCCAACGTATAATAATTCTAATACCAACCCTTAAGTTGGAGCATGAATACCCAAGATTTCCATTGTTTAATAGAAAGGACCATTGAGGTAGTACATATACCCTAATTGAGCATCTAAAAGCGCACATCTAACAATTTGTTTTCCTATTACCCAATCACAAATAATTTGACTATCTACTTCAATATGATTTGGTTCTTTCATAAAATACAAGACTACTAGCAATATACAAGCAACTTCATCAAGACTCTTCAATAAAAAACCTCATCTCTTGTAAAATAGATTTTACCGGTAAAATCAACAAATTATGAGTAATTTCTCTACATTCAGCCTCAGCACTACATTTCGCTAGTTGCTGCCACATTAGTTCCATATTTTTCACAGTAACAAGGTTGACCCATGGAAATACAGAATCACTTTACAACTCATCTATCTAAATGATCAAAATATTTCAAGATTACCCCACTATTATTGTTAAGGTAACTATTATGTGTTTTCAAAGCTAGCTGATACTTCAAGTTTCTCTTTAATAATACAAAATTTCACTTGGGTAATACAAAATAAACTCAACATAGTTCTTGTATCACTCTCAATATCTTGGATGAAGCCAACTTTCAGCTATGAAAATATGAATTTCCTCTACAATAATAATCCAACTCGTTGTAGAATTCTTCTCTAAATGCATGTACTCAATAACAATGCTCCAACCACCAGAAGCTTAAAAATACTTCAGAGCAGAACATTAGTCCCTCATCACCCAGTGCAACTTTCAGATCCTACACTATCTCAACCATAAACTCTTGTCAGTTTAACTTTTAACCAAGTTTTAAGGTTCTGATTCTTCTGAGGGTTCCCTCTTCAGAGAAACGAATGCAGTATCCTGTATACCCCCCTGCCACACAGTTAACTCTCTAGGGGTGGCAAAGAGTGTTCAATCAACTACAATAACTTTACCATTTACTTAGTGACAAATATGACAGTCTCAAATTCAAAGAAAAATCAAGTAAAGTAAACTAATGTCCAAAATTAATTAATACCCTTCTCCAAGTATTATTACTATCACGGAAAAATAGTGAACTAATGAAAAAAATAAACGACAGCTTAAAGTTCTTCTTAGTTTAAAGTCAAGCTGAAAGATGCTTCAAGATGAACACCAAATTGGATTGATCTTTCCCTAAAAGTTTTACACGATCAAATGACGAAGTTAGCAATTCAGTCAAAAACTAAATACCTTAACAAATTGGTTCCTCGCTGCAGTAAAACTCCGGGAAGCAACCCATTAAACTAATGACCTAGGAGCTTGCAGTACATTCATAAAATAATCCAGCTGTTATGACAACAAACTATTCATAAGTCAGCTGTCAAACATAAGTGTGTCCTAGAATATTATTGCTAATCCACAATATCTACAGACCTAATCTAGCAATTCCATTAACAATCAAATAACTTCACAAATTTGGTTCTCACCTTTGTTGAAATCTGAGAAACAATCGATGCAGGCCACTCTACATATGTTGAAACCAAATGGTGTTACATCAGTCATCTGTTGATGCCAATGGGAGTTTCTGAAGAAGAGAAATAGAAATGGATAAATGCGCACTGCGCTATCGAGAAATAAGTAAAGACATTGCACAGGATTCATCTATAATCACGACAGCAACAGAAGCCATCTTTAAATTGATGAAATTTCTTTGAATCTGTGGCATTATCCAAGTATGACAATCAACACATGGTAAGTTTCTCAATGAGATGATGCAAAGATCTCTTTTTCTGTTCTCATCTAAGACCTTAGTCTTGCATAAAAGATCTAGAATCGGAACATAACCCAAATTTTAACCATCTTAATTTTGGGACCAATCCCAGCATGAAAGTATACATCTTCCCATCAACATCAAATTGAAAGATCCTTTTTAATCTCATCTTTCTCATTTTGTCCTTCATCTTCTATAATTGGCCCATCATTCTATTTTAATTCTCACAAAAGCCCCTAAAGCTTCATCTAGGCCTCCTTTCTGGGAGAAACCAACAATCAACACTAGTCAATCCCAAATTTATCATTTTATATAACTGATTGCTAAAGCAAGTGGGTATCATAGAATTCAAAGTAACCATGTGTCATTCAGGCAATTCATCGAACAGTGTCCGAGCATTCATAATGCCACAACTTTTAACGAATAAACCCACTAGCTTATCGTCTATAAAGTTGTTGAAGATTTGGTAAGGAGGGGAAATATAGATTGTTTTATTGATATTGTATTGAATAGAGATTGCCGTATTTATGAAAACTGATGAGAGTGATTGAGGACTGTGTCTGTGTCCAAGTTTTTATAGCAGTATATTCATTATTGTAGCATTCCTCTTTGAATACCTTAATATATGGGTTTTTTTTTGCATGTTGTATAATAACAATAACTCTTGTCATTTATTTTGTTACACAAATATGACCAAACATATAATTTATTTCATAATTTAATTTTCTGATAATACTTTCCAACGCAATCAATGTTTTTTTTTTTTTTAATGATTTGGGGTCTCAACTAATCTCTCGTTACTTTAAAACTAGAGACTGTAAGAACTCCAATGATTGTCTCTATTAACGATCGATGAAGAGTTCAAACTTAAAACCTTTTAAGTAATACATCTAAGAAAACCTTTTAAGTAATACATCTAAGAGTTTTTATTGAATCGTTTGACCACCTAAAAATAATTCGCAGTCAATGATGGTAAAATTATAAAAAGATAATAATTTATAATACATTGACATAATTAAAAACATAATCACACTAATATTAAATCATATATTTATGTTTAGCATTTTAAGTGATGATTATTGAACATACTTATATTACAAAATAGGGTTATTTTTGTAATTTTATAAATAGGGGCTTATCAAAATGATTATTTTTGTAGAAAATAAAATTAAAAAAACACTCATCACAAAAATGACTGACAGCAACAGTAGTTTGCCCGCCAGATATACACATGCATTCCTTGTTTCATATTCAATTATCAAAATATCCATCATAAAACCTTCTTTTAACAAATCCTAAACTTCAGGGGGTACGTAATAAAAAGGAAAAGCTCTGGAGTTTAGTGTAATTTCTCCTGAAAAAGCATCTGCTTTACCCGCTCCTCGTTATTGTCCAATTTTTCAAGCATTTTCAGTTTCTTTTCTTCTACTCACTACTGAGTTTGTGATGAGTGATGTGGTGCAGCTCTTCGCTTAGGATTTTCTGGTATGTTTTTAATTCTTTCTAATCTTCTTGAGATCTCTTTCGCCATTGCTATGTAAGTTGTATGTTTCTTTTGTTTGACTTGTTGTATGTTTCGTTCAAGTCTTTTTTTTTTGCATTAAATAATCCTAAATTTTACTTAAATCTTTCTCGGTCAATCTTCCTGTGGTAGCACTTTTCTTTGTGTTCTTTTTTGTATAAATTCTGTGCTGTTTGTTTTAGAATTCTTGATGTGTATATATATTATCCATATTTATCAGAATTCTAGGCACAAAAGTTTGAACTTTTAGCTTCTGAGCTTGAAGATTCTGACAAGTTTTTGTCTTTTCAGCTGGATCATGGTTGCTTTTCTTTATATGTTTAATAGAGTTGTGTAAATTAAATTATGTGAAAAAGCATGAATTACATTACATTGTGGTGCCTTAATTAGTTGTGGAAATGTATGGAAATTACAGGTTTCAAGATTATGGGGGAGAGTTCTGGTGACATGGATCGAATCTCGGATTTACCTTCTTTTATTGCTCATCGCATTATGTGTTCTCTCTCCACAAAAGAGGTAGCTCAAACTAGTGTGTTGTCAAAGAGATGGAAATATTTAAAGGATTCATTTCCTATCTTGGATTTCAATGAAAATTATTTCTTTGGAGTGGAATTTGAAACGGAGATGGAAAGTTTTGAAAAGTTTTGTGAACGTTTGAAGAATTTCATCAAATTTGTTGATGATTCCCTGTTTCGGTTCTGTAAACTTCAGCTTTGTATGCATGCATTTAGGCTATCCATAAGCTTTGATGATGTGAACGAATTGCCTGCTTCTCTTGACAAGTGGATAGGATTGGCTGTGCAAAATTGTGTCAAAGAAATGGATCTTAACCTCAGACCAACTAGAAGTTATAGGTATAATTTACCTCAAGCAATCTTTTATGCTAAATCTGTGACAAGTTTAAAACTACATGGGTGTAAGATGGAGCAGCTTTTTGGTTCTATGAGGTTACATTCTCTCAGAAAGCTAATTCTCTATGATATCCATACAAATGAAGAGATGATTCAAAGGGTTGTTAGTGATTGCCGTATGCTTGAGGAATTGAGTTTTATCTTTTGTAGGGGTTTGAAATGTTATTGTATAATCTCTAGACTTCTCAAACTCAAGATTATAAGGATCTACTCTCCCCCAAATGAGGTTGAAAGAATCACAATATGTGTTCCAAGTCTTCAAGAATTTGCGCTTTTATTTGATCGGCAACGAATGCCATGTATGATTAACATGTATGATTGTCATCGTTTGAGTGATTTACACTTAGGGGGTGCCTTTTTTAAGGACATGCAATTCCATGACCTTATTTCAAGATTTCCTTTGCTCGAGAATTTGCGCGTTGAATGTTGTCACTCCCTAGAAAAGGTTACTGTTGCAAGTAATCAACTTAAGAACTTGCGCTTTGGCGGTTGTTCTAAATTGAGGGAGATTGATATTTATGCTCCAAATTTACGCAGTTTCTCTTATGTGAATAATCCAATTCCCGTATCTTCGATAAATGCTCCTTGCCGATGGAGAGTTGGATTCTTAAATGGAAGTGATCCTGACACCCAATGGTACATTAGCATGAAGGAATTTCTTGGAGTTTCCAATCAAATTGAAGATTTGATCTTATATTTCACATCAAGGAAGGTATGTATGTAAACTTTATATAAGAAATTCACTTATTTTCATTATTTTTTAATTATTGTTAATTGCTTATTTTGTTCCTTTTTTCGTGATTTTTTAGCACTTTTTCAGTTTAGAAGAATTCCAAGAACATTTGCCCTGGCTACCATTTGTAGTTGGAAATTTATCTCTATATACACATGCATTACTATCATCAGATTATGGAGCTTTGTTGGATGGCGTTCTATGTCTTTGTCATCCTAAAAGTTTGTCTGTGATAACATGGGGGCGCGAGCAAAACAAATTCATTAAGGTATGTCCATCTTATCATAATTTTTACTTCTTTGCATATTTCCTCTAAATTTGTCAAAATTACCATATTATCATTGACTTTCTTGATTGAAGTATTAACAATTTAATGTTTTTCTTACATAACTTATCATGAGAGAAGGAAAGGGAAAATTGTTGTTTTTCCACGTCAAAAATGAGAGGAGGAAGAAAAGTAGAATTGTAATTTTATTGTTTAAAATTCATAGTTGCTGAAAGCTCTCCCCCAAAATGCATTCATTATGGCTGACAGAGTAAGTGCAATATTTCTAAAGTGGCTAGGATTTTAAATGCGAATGTTTGTATTTTGGAATTTTATCTGTACACCTTTTAATCAGTTTTAACTTTTACTCCACATGTAAATGAATAAATGTTGAATTGATGTGATTTTCTTCTTTTATTTATTTTTCTCCTTATCAAGGATTATCCGTGTGATCAAGAATAATGCATGTTACATGAATATAAAACAATTCTTCCTTTCTCATTTTTAAGATTAAGGGTTTTAGATTTTTAAGTCTTCTTAGTTCTTGCTAAGTTTAGAAAACTCTTTTTTTCTCACCATCTTAAAGTTATTTATTTTAGTTATTTCTGGCTAAGTTTCTTATTTGGTTTATTTACAGTGGCTGAATGAAGAATTGACAAATAAAGATGCGAAATGTTGCAATGCTCGTGATATCAAATGTTGGCGACATTACTTACAAGGTTTTAAGATCGAGAGTTTCTCAAAATTGGAAGATTATAAGCCTATTCGCATAGATAACACTGATGTGTTGCCTAACCTTCCGCAAGGAACTCTTCGCTTTCGACTAGATTGGTGTTATCCAATACTTGCGAAGAATCCTTGAGATATTGTTTCATGAAGCTATCTTTGTTGAAGATTGAAACTTTTGTAGAAATGTTTTGCAAACTTTATTTCTAGGTAAACATTATTATAATGTACAATCTTCATATTAAGTACACCAAAGCAGTGTTAGAAAATTTCGTTCATTAATTTCTTGATTTGAGCCAAGTACGGAGACACATTATGGTAGTAAGGAAATGCGTTTTCAATTATGCAGGTAAGTACTCTAATCCATTACCTATAAGAATACAAATTATGTTTATGATGGATGAAGTTTTTGGGTTTTGGCATCCAAAAGATCTCCACACTACAACAAAAAGGACTTTTAGCTACGATTTTGTTAGGGACGATTAAAATTCATCGCCAAAGGTAATTATTAGCGACAAAATATGAAATTGGTCGCCAATAGTTTTGCGGACTTTCTAATTCTCGCACGAGATGGCGGGAAATAAATTGGCGACGGACTTAACGACGACATAATTCGTCATATAATGTTTTTTACGACGAAAATACAAAAAACGACGCCCAAGTTGTTTTCGCGACGTAACCATATGTCATCGTGGATACTTTTTACAGAAATAGTACAAAACGTAGCCAAAAATATTTAGCAACGCAAATGCACAGTGCCATAAAATGTGTTTGGCGACGAAAATATAGAAAGTGATGCCAAAGACGTTTAGCTATGCAACAAAATGCCCATCATAACAGCTTTTTGGTGACGAAAATATAGAAAGCAATGCCAAAGACATTTAGCTACGTAACAAAAGGGCCATCGTAACAGCTTTTTGGCGACGAAAATATAGAAAACGATGCCAAAGACATTTAGCTACTCAACAAAAGGCCCGTTGTAACAGCTTTTTGGCGACAAAAATATAAAAAACGACGCAAAATCCATTTGGCTAAGCAACAAATAGTTCGTCGGAAAACGTTTTTGGCGACGCAAATATAAAAAAAAAAAGGCCAAAGACATTTAGTTACGGAACAAAAGGCCCGTCGTAACAGCTTTTTGGCGACGAAAATATAGAAATCGACGCAAAAGACATTTAGCTACGCAACAAAAGGCCCGTCGTAACAGTTTTTTGACGACAAAAATATAAAAAACGACGCAAAATCTATTTGGCTATGCAACAAATAGTTTGTCGGAAAACCTTTTTGGCGATGCAAATATAAAAAAAAAAAAGGCCAAAAACATATTGCGACACAATTTATGTTTCATCGTGAAAACATTTTGGTGTCGATTTTCTTAAAATCGTTGCCATTAGTATGTTAGAATTTAATTTTTAATGTAATTTTATATTTATATGACAATAACTGAAAGTGTAAAACCAAACAGTAATAAAAGAAATCAAAATTAAAAACAGTGTCAACTATCAATATAAAAAATAATATCTTAGAAGTTTGGCTCTTGAATTTGACATTCAAGCATGTACTTCAATTTAAGAATGTTGCTAGTAAAGAATTTATTGTTTCACTTAATAGATTTGGTTGGTTATTATTTAATACTTATTTAAAGCCTTGATTTATAAATATATATAAATATTTATTAAAAGCTAATGACAATGCTCTTATTATTATTATTTATTTTGTAAATACGAAAAGCACCATAGGGTAAATTGTTTTTCAGGTTTTCACTGTTGGTAGCTTATATTTGGTACTTGTTAGTTGCTATTTGGGATCATTATTATTATTTTTATAATATATATTATAATAAATTTATAATATTATTTAATATTTATATTTAAATGTCAAATTTAGTACATTAAATAATATTTATTAATATTAAAACAAACAAATCAAAATTAATGCACAAAGAAAAACCACATCACAATTATACAAATTAAATTTGGATAACAATAATAAATATTATTAATTCTCAATATCATCTTCAACTTGTACATCTTCACTTTATATCATCATCACTAACTCTACTACTTGGCTCCATAAATTGAACAACTTCTGGTTTCACATCCACCCTATGAAGTTCTTCTTGCTCATTAACTTTTGCATCAATATGAAAACTGGATTACACATCAACCCGGTTTGGAAAGTTATACAGAAGGTGTAACATAGGCATTTGTACGACATTCCCGATAAAATTGAGGAAGATCAATTGACAACTCATGATGCATATCAAGCCAATAATTTAGATGAATTTAGTTTTCATATTGATGCAAAAGTTAATGAACAAGAAGAACTTCGTAGGGTGGATGTGGAACCAGAAGTTGTTCAATTTATGGAGCCAAGTAATAGAATTAGTGAAGATGATATAAAGTGAAGATGTACAAGTTGAAGATGATATTGAGAATTAATAATATTTATTATTGTTATCCAAATTTAATTTGTATAATTGTGATGTGATTTTCCTTTGTGCATTAATTTTCATTTGTTTGCTTTAATATTAATAAATATTATTTAATGTACTAAATTTGACATTTAAATATAAATATTAAATAATATTATAAATTTATTATAATATATATTATAAAAATAATAATAATGATCCCAAACAGCAACAAACAAGTACCAAATATAAGCTACCAACAGTGAAAACCTGAAAAACAATTTACCCTATGGTGCTTTTCGTATTTACAAAATAAATAATAATAATAATAAGAGCATTGTCATTAGCTTTTAATAAATATTTATATATATTTATAAATCAAGGCTTTAAATAAGTATTAAATAATAACCAACCCAATCTATTAAGTGAAACAATAAATTCCTTACTAGCAACATTCTTAAATTGAAGTACATGCTTGAATGTCAAATTCAAGAGCCAAACTTCTAAGATATTATTTTTTATATTGACAGTTGACACTGTTTTTAATTTTGATTTCTTTTATTACTGCTTGGTTTTACACTTTCAGTTATTGTCATATAAATATAAAATTACATTAAAAATTAAATTCTAACATACTAATGGCAACGATTTTAAGAAAATCGACACCAAAACGTTTTCACGATGAAACATAAATTGTGTCGCAATATGTTTTTGGCCTTTTTTTTTTTATATTTGCGTCGCCAAAAAGGTTTTCCTACAAACTATTTGTTGCATAGCCAAATAGATTTTGCGTCGTTTTTTATATTTTTGTCGTCAAAAAGCTGTTACAACGGGCCTTTTGTTGCGTAGCTAAATGTCTTTTGCGTCGATTTCTATATTTTCGTCGCCAAAAAGCTGTTATGATGGGCCTTTTGTTCCGTAACTAAATGTCTTTGGCCTTTTTTTTTTATATTTGCGTCGCCAAAAACGTTTTCCGATGAACTATTTGTTGCTTAGCCAAATGGATTTTGCGTCGTTTTTTATATTTTTGTCGCCAAAAATCTGTTACAACAGGCCTTTTGTTGCGTAGCTAAATGTCTTTGGCATCGCTTTCTATATTTTCGTCGCCAAAAAGCTATTACGACGGGCCTTTTGTTCCGTAACTAAATGTCTTTGGCATTGCTTTCTATATTTTCGTCACCAAAAAGCTGTTATGATGGACATTTTGTTGCATAGCTAAAATTCTTTGGCATCGCTTTCTATATTTTCGTCACCAAACACATTTTATGGCACTGTGCATTTGCGTTGTTAAATACTTTTGGCTATGTTTTGTACTATTTCTCTAAAAAGTATCCACGACGACATATGGTTACGTCGCGAAATCAACTTGGGCGTCGCTTTTTGTATTTTCGTCGTAAAAAACATTATATGACGAATTATGTCGTCGCTAAGTCCGTCGCCAATTTATTTCCCGCCATCTCGTGCGAGGATTAGAAAGTCCGCGAAACTATTGACGACCAATTTCATATTTTGTCGCTAATAATTACCTTTGGCGATGAATTTTAATCGTCCCTAACAAAATCGTAGCTAAAAGTCCTTTTTGTTGTAGTGTGGAGATCTTTTGGATGCCAAAATCCAAAAACTTCATCCATCATAAACATAATTTGTATTCTTATAGGCAATGGATTAGAGTATTTACCTGCATAATTGAAAACGCATTTCCTTACTACCATAATGTGTCTCCGTACTTGGCTCAAATCAAGAAATTAATGAACGAAATTTAGATTGTGACGAAACCACATGAATTATACTTCTAACATGTAATATTATTACAATACCTAGAAATAAAGTTTGCAAAACATTTCTACAAAAGTTTCAATCTTCAACAAAGATAGCTTCATGAAACAATATCTCAAGGATTCTTGGCAAGTATTGGATAACACCAATCTATTATAAGGCTTTTGTTAGAGGTGGCAATTTTTGCATGTCTTGTTCCTTTTAGTACATCTTAAATCACGTTGTTTCAAGATTAATTTAAGCTATATCAATGCTTGATTATTTTAGATCAAGATTACCTATAAATCTATAAAAGCCATAGTTGTAATCTCAAATCTCAAGTGGGAATTTTATGTTATTAATATTTTTACAATTTCACATTTAGTTAAATGAAATATGAAGCTTATTCAATAAACTAGTTGAAAGCAATGTTTTAAAACCCAACCCGACGTGAAACTTGGCAAAGTTGTCAAGTCCCGAGTTGACCGGTTTAACTGTAGGTCAAACCGGTTGACAAAAACTTCTAAAATTCAGCAAATACACCCCTAGTCCATATAAGTTTGAAATTTAGCAAACACACCCCCAAATACAAATCAGCCGGCGACACCTCAGATGCAACCTCAATCGTCCTTTGAGGCCATTCTCCTTAAAATATACGCAAGATCACCTATTTCGGCCAGATCTCACCGACGCCGGCGTCGACAACCCTCCCAATCACCTAGGAATTACGCCTCTCTTCCTCTCGACCAAAACCCACCTCAACCCACCCCCGTTAGCCTTGCCAATCGCTAGCAAAAGCTGGTTGTTGCCGCTGCCATTTTTGTTCGATTTTCAGTCGATTTACTCATCGGAAATCAACTTCGTCACCACCATTGCATTCACCGTCACTTTCTCTTCAAAAGCCCCAACATCCCAACCGTCAATTGTCCGCCGATCATCCTCCCAAATCCTAGGGTTTTGAGTGAATAGGAAAAATATAAACCCAGCTCGTTGAAGCTTACAAGTCCCGATTGAATCGGTTAAACCGGCCGGGCCTG